GTCAATGGACAGCAAGATGTCTTTTCTAACAGTTGGATGGCACATATTATATTTGCATTTCTGGCTAATGAATGAATTGCAGATTAAACAATGCTTTACTATACAGACACAGTCATTGAGGAAATATATTTTCTAAGCATTTTGGTTTAGGATCTAAATAATGTTAATTACTATGTTCTTAAACTTACAAAACAACTGAGTAGTAAACTGTTTCTAAACATTTCTGCCTAGAACTTTTAATCAAAACAATAATATTTTCTTTAAATACGATATGGTCGGTGACAACTAAGTATCTCAAAACATTCCTCTGCATTGATTGAACATTTTAATGTGTTTTGTGGGGTGACTGGATCTAAAATATATCTTCTAGATTATATCATCTGAAGGTCTAATCAGAGAGTTAGAGAAATTAAAGGTAAGTACAAGTACACTTTACTGGAATGTCACATATTTATGGTTCCTCAAAGTATTCCTATTAAACTGGCTGAGCACAGTAGATTGATTAAAAGTTTAGAGCATTTTGGAAAATGTTTGAACATCATGGGTGCCCACATAATCTAAGTGCTTAAGAATTTGTATTTTAGTTGGGATGTTTTTCCCAGATGTGATAAGTTACTCAACTATCTGTGCAAAAAAGGATACATCCATTTGCTACTGCATTATAAGAGATCTATGTGGGGTCTTCAAAATCAGAAATCAATGAATCATACTTTCAAATCCACTTGTATTGAATATACACATATATGTACATATATTTCATGTTTATTATGACTCTTAGAAGTAATTATTGTCAACCACATTTGAAAGACTAGGAAACCAAGATTATAGACACATTACATGATTTGCCTAGAATCAGTAAATAACTAGAAGTAATATAATGTAAAGATAAGTATATATGTGAATGGACAGAGAGATATACACCTATAAGATGCTAACTATATATACATTTATAAGGGTATATATGTGCATATATTTGTTGATATTACAGCTAATTACTTTGTAGATCTGTCACTAATTCTGTGGTTTATGATCAGTGAGTATAGTAGCTGGACTAAATTGTCTGTGAGATATATACACTGTATTTAAATTTAAAAAGCTCTGTCTTGTAATGGCTGGAAAATTGTAGCAGAGGTAATCATGGGCCTAGTAATATAATATTTACAACAAAGATAAAACGTCTAAAGTCAGTCTTAACTTCCAATTGGAATGGAGCCCTTTGGCATAAAGCATGTTTTAAAATGTGCAGAAACAAATCTCTCTATTATTAAATTAAGCATTCTATAAATGAATTATTTTGAGTAGACTGTATATTCAAAACAAAGCCAAGATATCAGGGAGACATTTACATGTCTAATTTTTTAAGTGAAAAACCAAGTATTTTGTCTAGATAGTGGTAAGCAACTGAATTCTGGGAAGTATTGGATCATAATTTTTTTTTGTCAAGTAATGTTTGCCTCATGGTAGACTATGTGAAATGAAGAAGCATTTGGGAAGATAGGGAATAACAAGGGGTTCCATGTAGATGGATTCTATAAAGAAATAGGGTTTCATTGAAAAATCATAATATTTATCTTACATGAATGGTAATAGCCTATTAAATGTAAAAACTATGTAAAATTTAATCTGAGGATAAGAAAAAAATCTTTAACAACTCATAGGAAAAGTTACCTGAACTATTTCTGTTCAGGGAATATAAGAAAAAAAATTTCTAAATCTTTTAAGCTAATTTTCTTTTATAAAATACACTGCTAGCTCTTCAAAGTAAAGGATAGATTCATTATCGAAAATTTTATCAATTTCTGTTGTTTATCCTTGAACAGTAATTCTTTATTCCTCTTAAGTGTAAGATTGGTTTAGTCTCATAGATAAAAACACTTTTTCTTTTTGGCATTTATTCCTACTTAAAAATATTTTTATTGTCTCGCACTTTTTTCTGTTAGTATATTCTTGCTCTAAGACAAAATAAAGGACAATGAAAATTTGAAAATTATAAAAAATGAATATATAGTATATATTTGTGAATATAATTACATTAATGCTAATACATGTTTTTTTTCAGCCACTATCTTCCCAAATGTGTTGTAGGCTTGTTGGTATTCTTCATGCTATTCTTTAATATGTTTTTATAATACAGCAATCATTTACATATAAATAAGAGATTTATACTTGTGAAATTGATTCATTGTACTCAGTGAATATAAAGCAGCAAATACAAAGTACTGGTAAATATTAAATAAGGTGACGAATAAGCTTTTGGACATCAGAAAAGTATAGAAATATTTTCTGCAAGTCAAGGTCTATAGTACTTGTTGAAAAAGAATATTACTGGTCTTCTGTGCTCTACCCCATAAATAATGATTCAGAATCATCCAGTGTATACTTGGAATCTCCATTTTAGTAAGTTTCCCAGCTAGTTCTCATGGCAGTACTGTAAGGAAGATATTTGACAGTCTAGAACATTTGGAGCTTCAGAAATTAACTATTTCGCAAGAAAAGATATTCATTATGAATATTCTCATTATGATGCTTCATTTTTCTCCTTGTTTTACTTTTGTGTTAGCACAGTCTCATGAGTTAAGCCATTTATCAAGGAAGAAAAGACTATTCTTAGGATTTATTTAAATTTAAAGGTCAATTTAATTTTTTTTTAGCTTGCTTCAATTTTCTAGGTGATTCTACTGCCACTGTTTATTCCAAAAGTATCCTTAGGTCCTCATTTTTAACAGTAACTTATTGTCTTTTTTCTGGATCACCTTCAGCATTCAAAGCTTATACTTCACTCCAAACCTACTCTGCCATTTAAGAGACTTTTTTATGGGATTGCAGCAAACTGAAACTCTGATCACATTCTCTTCATCAAACTGTGATGGCTCCATTCTCTGTCATTATTCAGAAAACACAAAAAATTACCTTTTAGAGAGTTTTCATGACACATAACTCCCAATATTTAGAGATATTATGAAAATCTAGGCCACTCTGGTAAAAATGAAAATAAATCTTAAAGTTTTGCTTTTATATGATGTAGGAATACAAAAATTAGAGCTATTGCAACAAGGAGATGTCTTAGATACTCTACTGTTTTAAACATAATAAAATTCAACTTTTTATAACTAAAATATTATCATTGGAAATAACATACATAGGAATGAACTTATCTTTATCCACTTGATTATAGAATTGTTTACTAGGATGGATGTAAGACAAACATATCCACCTAAATCCCTCCTAGATTTTAATCCACAGGTTTCAGAAATGGTACAAACATGAGAAAGATATTTTCTATCAGTAAGCAACTACCAGCTCTCTAATTTCTGAAATAAATTGTTTCAAGAAGTTACACATTAAATTTAAATATATGTATGCAAATTTTGAATAGAAATTGTTTTAATGGGATTCCACTAAAATGTATTACACATAAAATCTTTTGTAGTAAAAGGCCCTCTTCTCAGAAAACTTCTTAATCTTAGACCCTGAATGAAAATACTTACTAAACTCATAGTTAAGGAGAAACATGAAAAGTTCTAGAAGAGTTAAGCAGACCCTGTGTTTGCTGAAAAACTCCAAAAATAACCTTTTACTCTTTGCTTTTCTTGAGTCTTCTTTATAGCTCACCATAGAGAAGTAATGATCAAAGAACTTCACTAGACATTTTGAAGAAAATAATTTTAAAAATTAGTTTAACCTTATCTTTGTCAGCTCCTTTCGTATGTCAACTCCCAAGTAGACTTTAGGGCAGTGTCTTGAGTTCTTTTAAAGCTGGTTGTTTTTTTTCTTTTCTTTAAGGAGTGGAGAATATGGAGTAATCAATCCTTTATAGAGCTTTATTTACAAATAGCAGTATAGGCAAGTGCAAGAAATGAAAATACTGGACCTATGATTTGCCTTTGGTCCTGACTGGAAATCCTTATGGTGATGGTGGTGGGGAGGGGTCTCGATGGTGCACTATCACATATGGAGAGGTACTCCCCTCATACTACTGAGGTGAAGAAGTTCAGGAAAATTAATTTATATGCAAAGTATTTTATATCACACACATGCTCAGGATTTTCTGGAATCCATTTCCCTCACTCCCCCCCTCCCTTTTTCTGTTCAGTACATCAAGGCCTTAAAGCATGAATGCATACTTCAGAATTCTGGCATCTCATTTACCTCGTTCAGCATATTTTTCAAGGCTGCAGTAAGGCTCACTCTTCTCCAGGCATATTTTCTCCCCAACACACATTCATTCATTCAACTACATTCTACACCCCACGCCCAACAGTCCCTTTCTCCTTTGGGGGGCGGGTAGCCATAATCAGAGCAGGGACTTCAGATTTCATTAGAACCTCTAGACTCGGTAGGCCTTCTGTCTGGTGGTCTGTGTAGATTTAGAGAAGAGGCTCTACCAGGTTAGACAAGCCTCTTCTCTTTGGTCCCAACTGGGACTGCTGTCCCTGGTGCTGAACCGTATTTGACCATCAAGGAGTCAGCGGCCGAATCAGTGGGGTTAGATGGAAAACCTGGCTGACTGAATGCCCAGATGCAGAAGCAGAGAATACTTCAGTGAACAGAGATGGGGCCGCCCCCACCCCCCAACCCCTCCTTCACACATATCGGTCTCTAGTGCGACAGGACCCCATTTGCAATGTTCTCTTCCAGACCCCCACCCCAAACGCCTTCAACATGGCCTCAGATGCTAGCAGGTATCAGCAAAGCCCAGCTCGACATCAGATTGCGGTGATGTCAGAATGGTATTCCACAGACACAAAGTCTTTGTAAGGTTAGATGTTACACTCTAAAGCAAAACAAAAAATTGAAGCCTAATAAATTAATAAATAAATGAAAGTGACCTTCCTCCTTCCTCCCTCCCGTTCCTACCCCAAATTTTCATGCTCCTCTAGATTATAAAATTCCAGATCCTAGAAGAGTGCTTTAAAACTGGGTGGTCTCCCTAGCTTCGCATCTCCACCCCTTCCCCCACCCCTCGGGAGCAAAACGACGCGGAAAACGACATAGCTTACCCTGGGTAGAGCGACAGCATAAGAAGAATCCACGTCGTCATTTTCCGTGAAAATACAGGAGTCGAGTAGACTGAGCTTCCTGTGTTCCATATATTTGGCGAACTCATCGCTTTTTTTTCCTCCTCTCGCTTCTAGCCTCTCGGTTGCAGAAGAATCCCTCCCCCTTTGTATTATTATTATGCTTATGATCTAGTGTCGGCTCCCCCCACCTGCCTCTAGTAGGTCTCCTCACTGGGGAGCTGCGTTGCTTCCAGCTTCGCAATTAATATTCAAGGGACATAAATAAAATCAGCACAAACGCTTGCAGATACCATCAAAGCGTCAGCTAGGGCAGCAGCTTCCAAGTCGGGGGAATAATGTAGTTGAGTCAGGGGGAGGGGCCCAGGAAGGGAGACACGCCAAGACAAATAAACGAGTCAGAGAAAGGCACGCACATTCATGCCTCACACTGAGGCATACTCCCCCAGGTCCATCATTTTAGGTTTATTTATTTGTTTTGATTGTGTTTCTCTTAGAAGGGGCAGGACTGTGTGTGTGTGTTTGTGTGTGTGTGCATGTGTGTGTGTGTTTAAAAGGAAAAAAAAAAAAACCACTAGTGGCTCTGCGTGATTAACTATCACGCAGATTAACTGAGGTCAAAGTGGAAGTGATGCACGCTGCTGCAGCAGGAATTAACACATGCGTGGTATCTTTCCAGCACTTCTTAACCCTTCCCCGCACACACACAGTATGTAAGGACTGGTGTTCATGGGGTCAAGAGCTGCTTTAGCAAGCCCAGAATCTTTGTCATCCAAAGCAGAAGGCTTATCTCCTCCAACTTGCCTAGAATCTTTATTTTAAAATCCTAGTCTTAGAAATCATGATTACCTCCTGGGGTGGGGAGAGGAAGGGGAGGTGGGGGAGGGGTGCTTCTTTCTCTGTAAACCATCCTCTGTGGGAAGCCGGATTTAGTGGATTCAATTTGAATGAAGAGAGAAAACATTGATGGAATTAAAACACACAGAAAAATTCCACACTCTGCAGGATTCTCTTTTCCTTCCCCAGTGAGATTGTAAACACTCACACACACACACACACACACACACACACACACGACTAGAAGTTAGAAGAATATAACTGCTTGGGACTAGTTAACTTGAATAAAGAACATAGCCTAAACCCCTCAGCAGGGGACTACATATTGAATGGTAGAAGGGCACAGAGAAATGCAAGAGAGAACACTTAACAATACAAAAAACGTTTCTGTTTGCTGTGTGAAAATTTACTTTTCTGGGGTGATGGGATCTTTTTGGTAATAATCCTGAAAACTCCTAGGGTGAGTGAGTGAGTGAGTGGTATTAATGTATATATTTTTTTTAATTGCGGGGAAGGTGACAGTGAATACTGAAATATGGTATGGGAGATAACCCTATGTAGCTTTGTTACACCAACATACAGGAATTCCAGTTCTCAGATCCTGGGGAAGAAAGTGGAGGAGTGTTTCATGACTCTCTAGGGTCAGATACTACCATGGCCATGTTTATAAAGAGGTGCAGATGTAGAGGACTTAGCAGATCACTTCCTAGAAAGTAGGGTTATCTCCTAACTGAACCTTTTCTGCAGGAAGAAAATCTTCCAGAAATGGGACTTCAGTAAGCTGAAGTCCAGGGGGACTAGAAACAGAGCATCCGATCAACAGGTTCTCAAAGCATTGCTAACTCTATACCCAAGGGAAAGAGAATTACTGCTTGCTGTGGCCAGTGAATGCACTGAAGAGATGCAATGAAGCAAAAAAGCCTGAGAGATGTTTCTGTTTACCTGATCATTTTACAACTCTGCCTTTAGTTATTTTTGTAGAATTTAGACAAAATCCAATTAAAAGAACAACATTCATAAGCAATCAATGGAATTCTTTCCATTATATCTAAAGTGATGATAGAACAAATGTAAATTTCTTTTCTTTTCTTTTTTTATTTGATAGGTCGAGTTATAGACAGTAAGAGGGAGGGACAGAGAGAAAGGTCTTCCTTTCATTGGTTCACTCCCCAGATAACCCCTATGGCCGGAATTGCGCAGATCCGAAGCCAGGAGCCAGGTGCTTCTTCCTGGTCTCCCATGTGGGTGCAGGGGCCCAAGCACTTGGGCCATCCCCACTGCCCTCCAGGGCCACAGCAGAGAGCTGGACTGGAAGAGGAGCAACTGGGACTAGAACCCTGTGCCCATATGGGATGCCGGCGCCTCAGGAGGAGGATTAATGAAGTGAGCCACGGCGCCAGCCCAGTAAATTTCTTTTCTTTGTAATTATCTTGTTCCTTGCCCGTACTAGGTCATAAGATTTTTAGACACTAGAGGTGTGTGTGTATGTGTGTGTGTGTGTGTAGAAAATGAACATATCTGATCATAATTTTAGACTAAAGTGTGTATAAACATGCACATACATACATGTGCACACTTTGTAAAAAAATCAAGCATGTAAGTTAAAGAAAAAAAATGGGCTAGTTATGAATCAGTAAAATGGTAGAAACCATACACCCCAGAGTGATCATTCCGCGTATAGCTAGAGTTACTCCTGCTTACTTACTGTCAGAGTTTCCAGAAGAGATAGAAAAAAGAATTGTTCTTTGATGTGTACTAACTTATTAAACCACAAGACAGGCCAAATCCAAATAGCATGCAGGCCACCAAGTTGCTGATTTTGTTATAGACAGTAAAAAAACACCTGCAAGTGACAGTTCTATTCTGTCATGCAGGCCATTTCATATTGTAATGCAAGTTTTTTAGAGTGCTTGTTAGTTTGCTGCATTTTTTTCAATGTTAATGTGTTACTAATACAAAGAGAACAGATTCAATATAGTTCATAGATAAAATTCTAAGAATATAATGACACTCCCTCCCTCTGCTTTTCTTTGTCATTCTCTCTCTCTTTTCCATTCTTTCTTCTAATGCAACTGTGAGAATACATGCTGTCACTTTCAAAAGGTAGTGATTAAGATACTTCCAGTACAGAATCAGTAATTCCTAAAAGTTATAATCTATTTCAATAATGGAATACTTCCCAATATATTAAGAAAATCCCTACAGGAAAGTTTACTATGTATAGTACAGTATCTGGTACAGTTTTAACTGTGCCAAATATGACTCGTAGGCCTCACTTCCTCAGTGGATCTTTCTTAGCTAGTAACTGCTCTGTAAAATCATATTTAAATAAATCCTCTAAGACTTTGCAAGTAATATTCTGGTATCTATAAGAGTCCTGTTCTGTTAATTTCTTTCATAAGCAGTCACATGTTAATTATGCCTCATACTTATTCTTGCTCATTTTAAGAAGATATAATGCACATAAACACCATTTGATAAACATGAATCATATTTTCAGAGTAAATATTATATATATATATACACATATGGATATTTATGCCAAAGTTTGAAAAATATTGGAAATGGAAAGAACTCTACCACCCAGATATACTTATCAAAACAAGGCATTGTAAATATATTATAGAATTTTCTTTAAGTAAAGTTTTATTTTTTATTTTTGCTTCTAATTTGACATTGCATCATTTTTTAAAAGATTTATTTATTTTTATTTGAAAGTCAGAATTACACAGAGAGAGGAGAGGCAGAGAGAGAGAGAGGTCTTCCATCAGATGGTTCACTACCCAGACGGCCACAATGGATGGAGCTGCACCTATTGGAAGCCAGGAGCCAGGAGCTTCTTCCGGGTCTCCCACATGGATGCAGGTGCCCAAAGACCTGAGCCATCTTCTACTGCTTTCCCAGGCCAAAGCAGAGAGCTAGATCAGAAGTGGAGCAGCCAGGATTTGAACTGGCACCCACATGGGATGCTGTTGCTTTAGGCCAGGGCGTTAACCCGCTGTGCCACAGCGCCTGCCCCATGCATTGTTATTATTATTGTTTCATGTTGTTATCAAAGTTACTATTCCTAGAAGTTAATTATGAGAATAAAAGTTGAATCAGTTTGTTCTTAATAGAAAATTTCTCATTTTTAGGAAATTAAGCTCTATTATTAATTGTGATGGTGGAAAAGTAGGTAATTACTCTGTGAATAATATGTAACTTGGAGACAAAAGATTAAGTGAATGATAAAAGTGACATGATAAAAATGTAACAAGAAGCTGAAGAATTGATTATTGAAAGAGGAAACAGTTGAATGAGATTGCAAATTCTGTGACTTTTTCCCTGGGAATACTCCCAAGGGTGACCATCTTTTCTGTATTCCTGGAGCTTTTCTAGCTTTAGAAAGGCAGGAAACCTCTCAACCCAAAACTGGAGACTAGCTGGACTCAACATAAGGCCACAATTTTATTGGCTTAAGGTTTAATAGAAGTGTGTTTGGGGCTGCCTGTGCAGCTCAAATTGAGGAGGAAATCATATACAAGAAAACAACAGGAAAGGAAGGCTCCAGTTATGTATAAACTTCCTTTGTGTAAGGAGAAACATTACCAAGGAACCTGGATCACTGCAAAAATCAATAGACTGAGTTGTTCATAATTTAACTCCTATTGAAATAAAAATGCATAAATTTTCAGGGGAATGGGACAAATCAGAGTATTATTATTAAATATACATATATATATATACATATATATATAAAGTGTCCTAAAGTATTCAGAGTGGGGAAAAAAGGAAATATATATCTTTTTTTAAAAAGATTTATTTATTTTTTTGAAAGTCAGAGTTACACAGAGAGAGGAGAAGCAGAGAGAGAGAGCGAGAGGTCTTCCATCCGATGGCTCACTCCCCAAATGGCTGCAATGGCTGGAGCTGCACAGATCTGAAGCCAGGAGCCAGGAGCCTCCTCTCGGTCTCCCACATGGGTACAAGGGCCAAAGGACTTGGGCCACTTTCCACTGCTTTCCCAGGAAATAGCAGAGAGCTGAATCAGAGTGGAACAGCCGGGTATCGAATGGGTGCCCATATGGGATGCAAGTGCTTCAGGCCAGGGCTTTAACCTACTGTGCCACAGCACTGGCCCCAGAAAATACGTATCTTTATAAATCACTGTCAAAAGAAACAAACAAAAAATATTGCAATGATTCAGGTATTGTAATTAGCAGATAAGGATGGTCAATTAGGTATCTAAAACCATTCAAGGACTTAAAGAAAAATATGGTCTAGATGGTCATATAGTCAAATAAGTGGACCTTATAGAATCTCAGCAAATACATGGAAACTAGTTTTAAAAAGGCAAAATAGAAACTTTAGAAATGAAATTTATAATACCAGAAAAGAAACTATTACCTGAATGGGCTTTAGTAGCAGATTGACAATTGGCAGAAAAAAGTATCACTACACTTGAGGACAGATTAGTAAATATTATTCAGTATAAAAATAGAGAGCTATTAAAAACAAAAATAAAAGAGCCCATGGGAACTGAGACAGTATCAAGCATCTTAATATAATTATGTAGAGAGAGAAGAATGACAGAATTAAGCAGAAACGTATTTAAAGTAATCAGAGTCAATTTTCCCCCAAATTGGTAGAAAATATCAACACAGAGAACCAAGAAGCTCCTAAGTGCAGTAAACACAATGA